TCCCACCACAAGGGGCCCCCGGGGGAGGGCTGGAAGTGGGGGGGCTGCAGCGAGGACGCCGACTTCGGGGTGCTGGTGTCCCGGGAGTTCGCGGACGCCCGGGAGAACCGTCCGGACGCCCGCTCGGCCATGAACAGGCACAACAACGAGGCCGGCAGGACGGTGAGTGCTGGGGGGGTCCCGGCGGGTTGCCCACGGCCCCGTGGGGGGCCCGAGCTGGCTGCCCCGGCTGGAAGTGGGGGGGCTGCAGCGAGGACGCCGACTTCGGGGTGCTGGTGTCCCGGGAGTTCGCGGACGCCCGGGAGAACCGTCCGGACGCCCGCTCGGCCATGAACAGGCACAACAACGAGGCCGGCAGGACGGTGAGTGCTGGGGGGGTCCCGGCGGGTTGCCCACGGCCCCGTGGGGGGCCCGAGCTGGCTGCCCCTGAGGTCGTGGGACCACAGCAACGCCCGGGCAGGAGCTCTCTAGGGTTATTTTCCAAGGCACAGCATTTCCACTCTCCCCACGGGTGGGTGGGGTCAGTAAGAGCTAAGCCATGTCTGGCTGCCAGCACAAACAGCCCCCGAGGCAGTGCCCAGGAACCCAGCTCAGCTGCCCAGGACCCCAGGTCAATGGTGAACTTTCCTCCTTAGGGCTCTCCCCTGCATGCTCCCCATCGTAACATTGTCCCACCCAATGATTCGTGGGACTAGATGATGGTTGTCAGGCCCCTGCAACAGAAAGTTCTGTTCTGCCCTTGCTGTCAGCAGGTGCCTGGGCCACCCCCTGCTCCAGGTCACCTGCAAACCCTGCACACCTCGACCGTGTCACAGGGAGACCTTTCATATGGTGCTTGAAGCAACTCTCTTCCGAGGCCCCTCAAGCTCTTACTGACATTTTGTGCACTAGGTATCTCCTTCCCAAACCACTGCAGGCAGAGCTGGAAGGGCAGAAGTTTGAATCTCTAACTTGTGTCAACAAGTGACAGCTTCCTGTAAAAAAACAACTAAACAACAGCCTCTAGTAATTTTAACAAGAATCAGTAATTATTTTGCTCCACGTAGAGGAGGTTTCTGGGGATGAGCGAGAATCATGTCCTTGGATTCATAATTTCATTTGTTTTATAGTACAAACTGCCAGAGCTGGGGCGTAACATGAAAGGTGGTTAGGAGCCAGGACAGGGACAGGTCTACACCCACCGTGTCAGACATCCTGCAGCCCTGAAAGGCACCTCACCATGTTAGCAGACAACAGGAGTTTGGGTGGGAGTGCTGATCTGCTGGAGGGCTGGAGGCTCTACAGAGGGACTTGGACAGGCTGGATCGATGGGCTGAGGCCAAGGGGGTGAGGTTCAACAAGGCCAAGGCCAAGCTGTGTCCTGCCCTTGGGTCACAGCAGCCCCCTGCAGTGCTCCAGGCTGGGGGCAGAGGGGCTGGAAAGTGTCTGGCAGAAAAGGACCTGGGGGGGTTGGTCAATACGTGGCTGAAGATGATCCAGTGTGTCTACACAGGTGGCCAAGAGGCCACCAGCATCCTGACCTGGATCAGCACTAGTGTGGCCAGCAGGAGCAGGGCAGGGATCATCCCCTTGGACTGGGCACTGGGGAGGTCACAACTTGAATCCTGGTTTTCAGTTTTGGGTCCCTCATTCCCAGAAGGACCTTGAGGGGCTGGAGCGTGGCCAGAGAAGGGCAACGGAGCTGCTGGGGAAGGGTCTAGAGGCCAAGTGTGGGGAGGAGCAGCTGAGGGAGCTGGGGGTGCTGAGCCTGGAGCAAAGGAGGCTCAGGGGAGACCTTCTGGCTCTGCACAGCTCCTGACAGGAGCCTGGAGCCAGGGGGGGTGTGAGATCTCTTGTCCACAACTGATGGGACAAGAGGAAATGGCCTCAAGTTGCCCCAGGGGAGGCTGAGGT